AGCAGGAAGGATTCAAGCTGTAATGCAGTCAAACAGAGGGGGTGACAAAGCTGGGGGGCTGCTTCCACGGGCAGTCTGCATACAAGAGCAGCCAGAGAGAGATCAAGTTTGCTTTGATGACTTCCACATCCTTTTATTCACCTCATGCACAGTTCTGTTTGAGGGACAATATTATAGAGTCTATTGCAAGTAGGCAGTCACACAAACGTCCTTGCCAGAAGTTGTCACAAAACTGTTTTGGAAATGTCTGGTAAGGATAAGAGACCTTCCACACCACCAGGTCTCTGGAATCCAACCCTGTGGAAACTGCAGAGAAGAAATGGTGACTCATTGGTCTAACAGCTGTGATGAATAATTTGTGAACAATTTGTAGGCTGAAACACATGTGTGTTGAACATTCACTGAGTGATTAACAGATCTGTAAGGACTGAGGCCTGCCGGAGGATAATTAGCCAACTCAAGAAACAACTAAATTAACTGAATGAATTGCTTTCTTCACATAGCTGACCTCTCTCTACCTGGGAAGGTTTTTTGATCTTTCAGAAGAAGTGGGCTTAAAGAAAAAAAGAGGGTTTGCCATCCTGTTGGTATTTATGGGAATGGTTTTCAAGTGAAACAAATCATCTGGAAGCTGCAGTTGGATACAGAATGCTCCAGCCATTCTTGCCCTGAAATGCTGCAAAGCACAGCTAGGTACTCCTGACTAGTTGGCACATTCCAGCCAGAGGGAGGAGATGTGCAAAAGGACACCTCTATAGGGTCCATGAGCCACTCCGAGACATTCAGGATGAAAAGGCACCATGCCAAGGTGGTCTCAACCTTTCTGCCATATCTGAGGCTGTTCAGGACTGCAGAGTGCTATTCCACCTGAGCACTTCCCTCTTGCACTCAGTCAGCCTCACATGTCTGGGGTTTCGCCAGTTCATTGAAGAACACCATGAACTGGATATGCCTTTCTAATGGTGCCCATTTTGTTGGGTTCCTGTCCGATTATCGTGAAGGCCACCTCTGGCTGTGTTCTGGGGACAGCTCACAGCAGAGGACAGCACCCTGACCCCTGTATGCATCCGTCATAGACTGAAAGCAACTCTGGAGCAAACTAACTTTCTAAGTATTATTCTTCAACATCCTACACAGGTCTAGAGACAGGTGTGGGTCTTAAATCAGTGACTATGTCTACTGTACTAATGATCAGCCACCAAGTAAGAAGCACTGAGACAAAAATAACATAACAAGGGAACCTCAATCAGAGATATACTTTTACAACCAGAAACTGCTTATTAACTATGCATCTACATGCACCTCCTGTTTATAAATGTAAAAGGTACTTACTTCCCAGCAGCATAGACTTCTGCTGTATCAAACAGGTTAATGCCATTGTCATAGGCTAAGGTCATCAGCTGTTCTGCCATCTGCAAATAAATATTTAAAACATTTAGAAGGAAGATGTAATAGCAAACAGGCCCAGAACCCTCTAGGTGTGAGCACCACATTAATAATAAATATATTTGCTAGCATGCTTAGGCCAAACACTACCGACTGGGTTGCTGAAAGTTTGGCCGGCCCCTAAACAAGCAGCCTGATTTCCAGAGGTGCTGGACACCTGAAATTTCCAGTGAAGTCACCAAGAGCTGAGGGTGCTCAGGAGCCAAAACAGAGTGGCCTGATTTCCTGACCTACTAACTTCAAGCAACCAATTTTGAAACTATTACCTTTCATGCACAGCAGTACTCTGCCCACCGTGACATTTAAATGCTGTATATCATCTGCCTCTAATCAGGCCATGTTTGGATGAGATACAGCAGATAGTAGCTGCAACAGAGATGAATCCCAAACACGCTACACAGTGGGAGTTTTATTCCTCCCACTTCATTATTTAGGTTTCAGAGATGTAACTTATGTGGCATTAGCTCACACTAAAGCTGGTGTCCGTTGGCTCTAGAGAAACAGGATGTAAGAGATCTTGTTAAACACGTCTGTTAAAGGAAAGCAATAAAGAATGCAGACCATCTCTTGGAATGACCCCTCTGCTAGGTTCTCTTCGTCAAATTTCAAAATGAAAAACAGAACTGCATTCAGAGCTTCAGAAATGTTTTTGGTAGCTGATGACAATATCTGAAAAAGTCTTTGCCTTCACAGAAAAAATGCTAGCTTCCAAACTTCACTGTCTTCATAAGATGCATGATTTTACATCCATGTTTGAGGCCAAAGATTCTTCTGAGAGCATATGCTTGAATAAACATTACAGCTAATTTCAGCTCTTCAATTTTCAGGACTATTACAGAAGATCATTTTACAGGCAAATCAAGGTTTGAAAATATATGCAGAACTCTGAACTCTTCAAACACAGTATTACAAATGGAAACCTGATTCTAAGAGCTGTGTTCATCAAGCCAGGATTTAGAAAGACTGCCATGTTACATGTATATCTAATCAAATTAATCAGTGCCATTCAGTAATGGACATTTGGAGCAAACAGCTTGTGAACAACCTTCTCCTTGAATAATTCTGAAAAATGTTTTCTGAAAATTTTCAAACAGACTAAACTCAAATAAATTATTTG